GATCTGTCTTGTACTTAATATTTATTTTTATAAACATCGATATGGTTTGCTTAAAATGCTAAATTTAAAAAATAAAAAACAAGGGTTGCACAAACAATGAGGATTGCTTAGAGCATCAAGTAATTCAGTAATAAGAGCAACAAAACAAGCAAAAGTGCAAAATTTCTTTATGACTTCTGACAACGAGCTCCACAGGCATACAAAATGAAAAAAAATAAACCAACTATATACAAATCTGTCATACAACCCAAAAAGCCGTCTATATTAGTAACCTCACCACAAACAAACAAGAAAAGGTTCAATTAATGCCCAATTAGATCATCAAATTACTCATCTCTAAATTCCTTAGTGAAATTCCTATCGCAAATCTCTCAGCGACGCTACTACGACCCACGTTTATTCGTTAGTCCGTCATTGGGTTTCAGCTATTGAATGAACCACCGCACGAGGTCACTCAGCAAACATTCAGACCGGTTCCAACAAAATCACCTCAGCCGGCGAGCGGCAAGATATGTCCACTCCCATACTGAAGCACCACCGCTAGCCACTCACACATAATTCAACCTTAAATCATTCACAGTAAGTTTCACTTTCAAACGCACTGTGTTCAACCACGTCGTTAAACCTAATATCCAATTTAAACCTTACTGTACCTCATTAAGAATTAATTTTTATCAAAATTACATTATGTTAAATGTCATGTGAATTTCTTATTGAATTAAGCGTTATCAGATGGATTTCGGTTACGTAACACTTATTTTTAAAACACGTATTAAGTGATAAGAAATGTGTTCTCACTTCAAACTAATGGACCACTAAGTATGCAAGGGTTTAATGAAAAACTCAAAATTTAAAGTGGGTTCGTCAGGTTGAGCAACCCAGACCTTATGATAATGTTTAAAACAAAACATCAACAGAATGTACCTATTATAGGTATATGAAGCTGGTGATCGGTCTGGGGCACCGTTCTAGCAACTCAACAATCAAAATCTCCATTTCTTCAAAAAAACATTCTTAACGGGATATTTATCCTAAAACTGGACACAATGATGGAAAAACTGGTCAATCCAGCCAATATCCGATAATATCTAAGCCAAGCAAACAAAATTATCGATGCTATAATTATTTTGAAAATAAAAACAGGATTTTTTCTAACTTTATAATATGATATTATAAATAAAAGAATCATAAAATATTCTAATCACAACAAAAAAAGTAACAGGGATGTTTCCATATTCAACAGCCAGCATAATTTATTAAAAATTACCCGTTGCATATTATATAAATCTATGATTCCATGTCATCAAAGAGGTAATAAAAACATGAAGTTGCTGAAATATTGTACGAATATAAAAGTGTGTAATATAATAGTAACGCGAAACTTGAATAATGAAATTAAATACTGTTGCAGCTCTTGGTTCACACGTATAAATTCTACATCACAAAAGTATTTATGGATTAATTGACAATGAAACAATTCACACAATAATACACGTAATCCAACAGTGTAATAACAATTTCTCAGTCTGATGAGTGCGACTGAGAAATTGTATAAAAACGCGGAGTAATAAAGTACGAACTGCATAATGTAGAGAAAAGAATTTACACAAAAAGGAAGAAACAGCACCTTTAAAATTGTATACATTTGATGCCTTTAAGAAATTTACAAATACTCTGAACAACATTATAATTAAACACAAACACGACATAGCACGCAAAATATTTAGCCAGCTCATACATTCCTTACTTCTAAACATATTGTTAAGAATGGAAGTTGTTATAAAAATAATTGTAAAGAATGCACAACAAACATAGTTGAACAAGAGCTGTGGTTTTCTTCAACACGTTAGATATAGAAATCTTTAACGGCACGTTTATCTGTTTCAAGTAGTTTTATACTAAAGCGATATTGTTTACATGCTTTCACTTTTAATCCTGGGAAAAGACAATTAGACAATGAACGTACTTAATTAAAATTATTGCGATCTTGATAAACTGCAGAAATCAATGGCCATTACAAAGAATACTATTTCTACTCCATACTTCAAAATGTTCTAAGGTTCAATGAATTTGAAAAGATCAAATAACACACCATGAGAACTTTGCCGTTAGCAATAGCTGTCTATTGTAAGCAAAAGTCATCTAATAGAGTAACCAAACCCTCTCAAACCTTACGATCACTAGAAATCTGATCATGATTAAGTTTAAGTAAAAAAAATCTTAAAAAACAACACGACGCGGCGTACTGTGCAGAATGCCTGTGGAAGACCACATAAAATGTGTATTTGTCTTACACCTTACCCGTTTTAGTTTCGTTTATGCCAGCGCATAACTGCTTCTGTTTGTCTATTTATATCAACTGCGTTCGCATTATCATACCAAACTGTTTTATCTTTATAAAATTCTTAACACGTACGTGCACTTTGAATTTTTTCTCAACCTTTCTCTGTGTTGTCTCGTTTGATAACAATTTTTTTTCTTTTTTTATCAGGTTTTTTATCATTGTCTTAGAAAGTGACATTTTTCAATGTGATTTAAAAGTTTAATGAAGTTAATTTTCCACTAGACTTCATCGAATCAAATAACGGAAAAAATAAATAAGTGCACTTGCCGAGTTTCTTGTCCGTTCTTCTTAGTACGTATTCTATATTTAGATTTTCCTTCACATAGATTTTCCCAGTGCACATCACATGCAAATCTTCTAACAGTAGTAATATATATAAAACAATTAGCAAAATTGTATTAACATTCTCTGCTATTCTGTTTTTCCCACGTAGAAACATCTGCCTCTTCTATAAGTTATTGTGGTTAACGCTCTTATAGAACAGGTTTTGGATGAAAATAAACTAAGATCTAAGTCGTGTTTAACTATAGCTTGTATTTCTAGGGTTCAGTAAGAATATTTGATAGTCACAGATTAGTGGCAGAAGTTTTTTTTGTGTCAAAGAACCAATAAATGGAAATCAAATAGGTAAACCATACTTATTACATACAAGCTAGGTTTAATTGCTTATAGATAAAACTCCGAGATCGAGTGGCTTGCAAAACGATTGCTGACGCCTCTGAAATTCTGGCTTCAATTCTCTTGATCCACAAATTCATATCGGTTAATGTGGACAATGTACTTTTCTATATTTTCTCAAGAGTATTGTGATAATAAAAAGTTATTTATGTATATATAAATGATATTTTAATAGTTTTCATTTTGGAGGTATGATATAAAATATTTTTCTAGATTTTTGACTACTAACTTGCTTCTTATCTATTTCTTTACAATGATATGTTTATATTATTACTGTATATCCAGATATATTCAAACTGGACAAATTATATGGAACCTTCATTGCTAAATACAATTTACAACATTTTTTCCAGTAGCAAGTTAATAATTTATTCTATCGATATTATTAGCAATATATTATACTTTTAATTGCATTTATATATTTTTTTAAAATCAATTTCTTATTTTAACTTTAAAACTGCACTTTACTGTATCTCTTCGAAAATATCCTTATATATCATAACTGTATTGGTATGCTTCAGATACTTAATAGAATATTATACACAAGTATGTGCTTAGATCTAAGATTTTTTTCAATAGATGTAACGAGTTTCTTGCCGTTAATATTCTCGATGGGAACGGCATTCCAAGCCCGAGAGCGTGTATTCATTTGATTGCAAAAAAGGCCTTCATGGACAAAAAAATGATTCAACTGTTTTCCTAAATAGATCCTCCTTTTCATTGAATTTATTGGTAAGTTTTAAGTATATAAATTTGTATGTAACTATACTTATTAGTATTGTGAGCAGGTATTATTAATTTGCAAAGGTCAACGTAGAAGACCTTAAGAACCGGTATGATTGTTTGTAACAATTTGCCAACTGGTATTCTAGTAAGTTTAGATGTCAAATAAAAGTTTGAGTAAAGTTGTTAATGTTTCATTGAACTTCCAACGTCAGTTTATTATTTAAACTACACTCACAAAAAAGCCATGAATCATATGTAAATCAATCTTGTATTAGTAGCAAAGGTGTGCGTTAGCACCCCTGATTTGACAATTTCCCTTGTGTAGTGTATTCACTCGATCTATCTAAATGTCAATGGTAGTTCTGTGCTCTCTGAGTTATGCGGCCGCACGATATAAGTACTGGATGTCTAAAGAAAATGCGGAAGCTCTTTGTAGGAGGTCTTGCACTGGTAACCTAATCAAAATGAAAATAAAAAAATAAATTGGTAAAGACACGTCCCTTGAGAATGTCTAAATACTCGAAATATTCATAATATTTTATTAGAAATTAGTAAAGTTACCCTAATATTCAGCTGAAAGAAATTGGTCTATGGTATTCCTATTTAGATTCACAAAAGTTTTTTTTATTGTAGCCAGCGGTAGTAGTAACGATTCGTAGAGCAAGCCAAAGAAGTTAATTCTCTATTTCATACTCATAGGAGAAAGGTAAATCTTAAATTGGAGAAATCATATACCGTAATTTAGCTGAAGATTAAGTAACGGAGCATAATTCTCGTGTTACGGATATTATGGTAATGCGCAATTGCAAACTAGAAAAACTTAAGACAACAATGAGTTTAGCGGCGCGTGCGAGCTAATTATCAGCCGTTGAACACGGAACATTTTTTATCGGACCATTCACAAATAACCGCCACCTGAGACCGTTACCACCTGCCTACTATGTGTACAAAACTGATGACAGACGCCGATCAAAAAACTCGATTCGAACTAAAACCGACAAAAATGTTTTTATTTAAGAATCGACGAGTCGAAACAGGTATGCCAACGTAACAGTTATAGTTAACGAACTAGTCTTTAATTACATATAACTCGGAAATATCTTGTTTTAATACAGTTAAAAGTTGTGTAACAAACAACCTGAATTGTGATAATAGTGTTTAGCCGTAGAATTTTGGTCAAGTAAGATCAGAAATGCTTTATTATTATTATTATTCATCGATAGATTTAAGGTCAATATTATGAAACACTTACCGGCCGTTCGGTGCCGAAGGGGAATGGACCAACTTTACAGCGAACAGAAACTGTATTGCACAAACCAGAAGACAGCAAAGGTTCAACGAGAGCGTCAACGCGCACAATGCTAACGTCACTTCGTACACCACTGCAAACTCCTCAGGAGCACTGGTAGCTGGCGCTGATATCTTCAGGAGAAAAAGGAGCGCTAATAATGCCAAAAGCAGGCTCACTAAACATAGGAGCGCTAAAGAAGTCAGAGCCTCTTCTGTGGCCGCCCGCGTGCTTCTCCCTCTAGCGGGTGCTGCTCTTGTTGATGATCCCGGAGCGTTGCCATTGGCAATCTTCGGTGGTGACACTACTGGTATCGGTTGTACTACTGGCACAGGTGCAGGATTTGATGACGGTTGGGCACCAGGACTGACGCTGGCGGAGGTTCCACCGACGGAATGTTTGGAGGAATCTAGCGTTGAGACGTTGAGGGGCAAATGGTGGTGCGGCCGCCGCGGCATGTTTTGGTATCGGTGGTCGGCATCGCTCGCCGCCGGCGGCCGCTGCGCATGCTTCAACATGGCGCAGCTTTCACGCGGCGCGCCATTCCGCCGACTGGTTCTCGGGCATGCCTGCGCTGTGTCCTGCGTATTGACGCGCTCTCTCAGCGCCGGTCGCGACTCGACTGCGGGCCGACCCCCCTCGTACCTGCGTCCGCGCGTAATTATGTCAATCATGCACCGTGCCAGGGTGCATACTGTTCCAGCTACAAGGGTATGCGTCTACCTAACCTACCCCGACAAAAGAATAATGCCACTCCAAATACAATCGGCCTACATTCTTAAACAAATAACTGTCTATTCATAATGCTTTACTGTTTTGTAAACACTTCTAAAGGTACTGACTTTGTTTTAGCTACCGGATATTGTTGGGGATACAATAATGAAAATGAAAACAAATAATACAGAATTATTTACCTTTAGCTATTACCATTAAAATTACCAAATTAATATGATTTTGGTATAGTTTTAACTTAGCATTTCGGATTGTAATTTGTACATAAAATTCTATAACAAACACGACAACAAAGTTGCAATGATGAAAGAGCTCGCCGAAAACCTGTCCACCGTGTCCATCCGACAGATTCGCGCTAAAACGACTCATACGTCAGGGTCAGGAGTACAGTTATTAAGCACATCCATGTCCCAGCGGGCAGGGTGACCGAACACTTACTTTTTTTAAAGAGATTAATAACAAAGAACTTAAGCAAATTTCATTAAGAATATTTTTCAGTGTAGCATTGTGAATACCAAATTGATCAAACATAATAACAAAAAAAAATCTTTACAATTCACAAAAACAAATGTTTTTCATAGAATTTGCGTTCGAATTGTATTGAGTCTTGAACTATCTTTAATTTATAAATAAAAGATTTGGATTTTGGGCAGTATTTGAAAAAAATACGATTTGTAGCCTAATATGTATAAACCATTTTTTAGACTCAATAATTTTAGGTACATATAAGCATTATGAAATGAAATTTTGTTCGGGAAAATGTCTCTAGATACTCCCATTCATATATCCTAATATTTTCATTTAATCTACCAAACGACTAATTTAAAATTAATCTGAATCTTGCCTCCACAATGGCGAAACTTGATTAGGCAGCTATTAGAGTGTAGAAAGTAGAGTCCAAAAATTCGCATAAGTTTTCACGGTACGTGGAACCGTGAATTGTACAAAAAAATTAAGCCCAGTATTAAAAATATAATGCATAAACGACAAGCAGAAATATACAATTAATTACATAATTTCAGAATGCTTAAAATATTGACGTACTCTTCCAACGTAAGTCCTTTTGTAATGTCAGTATGCGCTCGCCCTTAAATAGCAAAACCACTAACAAGTTTGCAGGAAGAGAAACCAAACAGATATCTCTGTGATTAAACGCTGGATTTGTGTCGATGAACTTGGAAATATTTGGATACACATTTAATAATATTCGTTATCCGGAAATGTGATAGGTGTAAATAAATTTTACGAGCTTTTAAGCTAAAAGCGCACGTAAAACTGTTGAAAAACGACTACAAATTATAAAGGCAGTCTTGCCCCTAAAACATCGCTATATTATCTTAAAGCAAAACTTTACAAACATAAATTTTATTACCAAAAGCTTTGCGAAAAAATAGTTTTGACTCGCAATAAGCCGTCCTCTGTCTCTATCTATTTCGTTAACGGGTACATTGATTTCGTCTCGTTTTCTTTTGTCTTTACGTCCAGCCTGAAGAGTAGAATAAACAAATCTGAAGTGATAATGTCTAATAAAAGATTTTCTCTACTTAAACAACTTACTATGAGAAAAAATGAACTTATTTCAGAAATAACAAAATAGTTTAAAATTTGTTAGAACAAATGTAACTAGTAAATAAAAAAGTTAGTTTATCATAATTATTACAAAAACCGAAAAAAGGTATTCAAAACGGGATGACTTATAATGCAGATTGTTGACTTTAACGGCCTCTTAAAACCACTTTAAATATTAGAATTTATTTTGAAGAAAATTCAGTATTACAATATATAAATAGCAAATAACATAACATATAGTTAACTTCTAAAAGTCATCCTCATACAGATGTAACTATTACTGATCCAAAAAAACAGCTTTTTAAACATCTTGCGAGAAATAATGAGCACGCTCCAGTTAATAATTAAGTAATGTAATAGTGCGTTGTACCACACTGTTTATTTCGTCCTAGGTAACCACATCCTAACTTTTATTTATGATCTTTAATTAATTAAATTATTAATACTTGTAATTATTATAACAAAATACTTTTCGTAATTTTTGAAATGGTCTTTCCGAATGTCAGTTCGTGAAAATTCATCCAGTGAAAACACAGCATCAATTTCTGATACAAAAAATTGTTAGAATTTATCAACGTACAATTATTATTATTATTAGTAGTTCTGTTATTTTCACGTATTACAAATAAGTAAAAGACAATGTAACTCATTGCTAAAGTTCTATTTGTATCTACAACCCGAGGTAGGGGTATGTAACTGTTTTACCTAACTACTTTATTATTATAATTTTAGAAATCCATACGAACTGTAGCAAAGCTGAAAAATTAATTTCTGCATGTAGAGTAAGTTTATGCCTTCGACTTTTATTGGAAATATTATAACGAGCTATAATCCGTCGTAACTTCAAGGTTCTTCTTCTTTCATTAATGGCTTATCTGCGCATTTCGCACAATTCTGCCAATGTCAAGTAAATAAATAAATTTCTAGATGAAAAATGAAATGAATGAAAGATGGATAATACCAAGATATATACTAGATTTATGGATCAAAGTAAAATCCATCTATAAGTCAGCATCAAAGGAAGAGTACATTAAATTAATGTTAATTTTTAATTTACTCCTCGGGATTTTTTGTTCCAATTCTTTTTTTTTTCTCTACAGATTGTCCGAGTTGTCCGACACGTGGTATCCACCTGGTGTACAGGCAGGTGTCTTGATATGATATTAAAAAAGTTTATAGAGGAAGGTGTCTATCTATGGTTTCATAAAAAAAACATCATGTACAGTCAATAGCGAGTTAGGTTTATACAAACAGTGATGGGGTTGAGTAATGAGCCTATCGCTCCCCAAGTAAGTGCCATTTGAAAAAAAAAAGTTATACAAAACAGTGGAATTTCTCCCCTTCATTTTAAACCTTAATATGAAGTGTATAGTTCAAAATCATTTGCGCAAATTTAATATATTAGGGTAACCTGACATGCAGCCGTGTGAATCGTTGCTGGAAATGTTGCTATTAAGCAAGGAAAATAAAATAAAATATGTATGTTTAAGTAACTACTTATACCATGTTATAATTCATTAAAAGTAACCTTACCCAAAGCCTGCGGTTCCGACGGAAATCCTTGGCGGACGTCTTATCTTGTTACTCCTTCCGTCTGACAGTTGAGTTAAAAATAAACGTATATCTATTATACAACGGTTAGAAGTCAATAAATTCATTGTTGATATTAATAAAGAGAACTTGTTGAGTGCTGCCTGCTTCATGTCATGAATATGCTGATTTGGAATCGAAAATTTAAAGCAGCAAATAAAACACTCTAAATGTATACTGCATCGAGCAACTTATAAAATTGCACTAAAGTAATAAAAGTCGACTTTGAAGTAAGCTACAGGTTATGGCAATGGAAATATAGGTTTTGACGCGTTACGACACTTTCGCAAAAGTGCATTAGTTTCAGTGCTATTTCGTTTACAGTTGTAATAATTGTTTAAAGAATAGCTTCCATTTTTACCTAATTTTCTTTACTTAGAGTCACTGTCCTATACCGTTGGCAGGATTTTGAAGAAGTCTTCGATAATTATCGTTATATTTTCCGCGACTTCGCCCGCGTAAAGCGTGCTAATTGGGCTAATTGTTTAACTTCAAATCATTATAAATAATTTCAATTCCTTTCAAAGGTGTATTTTCAAGGTAGCAATCGCTTTTGGAATAAATGGTGATTTTAATGATCAGGACACATGATAAAACTTAACTAAACCCTCACGTTTTACTTTAACAATAGCAACGATATTCGAGTCTAATGCTAACTTCAATTAACGTTAAATTAGATAACGTTCATACAGTCTTTAAAAAAAAAACGTCGTCACACGTCAGTTTGTTGTTAGTTGAATATGGTGAATATCTTTAAAATGTCTATCGAAGTGGATTGCGATAGATTATAAAACTAGACAGTATATCCAAAGATTATTCCCAAGAAACAAAGTTACAAACATTACTTTTTTTATATTAGTAGGCAGGTATTAGGCATTATAAAATGGCGCCAGCCCTCAAGTCCTTTTTACCAAACAAAAGAGGTGCAATTTCGAAAGAATAAATATGTAACTGGTCACTTCAGTATCCAGAAAGATAAGCTTTTATAGATTGTGTGTTTTATAGTCTTCCTGTAATTTCAAAGTAAAAAAACTTATACTCCTTTGTTTTATATAATATACCTACCTAACCACCGTGGTGGTAGGTAAATCTTCACAGAATCCTTTTCGCATCAGCAAATCTTAACGAATTCACTGCCTATCATACAAAGTAATATATAAATAGAAATCTCCATGATATTTCTAATTAAATATTTATACATTTGATTAGGTTAATATATACTTTTTTAAGCCAAGAAATTTGTTGAAATGAATGCCAACGGCGTTATACAGCTTTGTATCCACAATAAAAGTAAATAATAAAGTATTTTAGATTATGAAAACTACTTTGGAATATGTGGAACTTATATATTCCAAAAAAACTTATTGATATTTACCTACAGAGAATAAAAAATTCAAATAAACTTTATAACAATAAAACCAAGTTTGAAAATAACAAAAGGTATATACAATACATCGTTATAAAGACTTGATAATCTTTATTTCCATTGCTGGTGCTTAACCTACCTTATGTTACCACCGTCACAAGGGACTTTGTCCCACGGTTTGCAAAAAATTGAAGCATTCTGTTACTATGGTGACCATACATAACGTAGAATGCAAATAAACATATTAATATTATAAAGACTAAAGACTTGAGTGTTTGTTTGCACTGAATAAGTTCGGAAAATACTGGGCTACTGATACATATGAAAAAACTGTAGTTAAATAGAAAGCAAACGACCTAAGTTGGTTGTGATAAATAATATTTAGTGTTTTCAATACAATACTTATTGCACAAGCACAAAAGCTCTCGCTGTTCATTTAAATACTTAACATTTTTTTATTTGAAAACTTAAGAATTTTTTTTGCCATTTGCCATTTTATTTATTTATTTAATCAAGATTAAAACTAATTATGATCCTGTCGTGTGGTTTCTTTTGTTCACAATGTAGATTTAACTGCAGATAACCTACACCCAGTTGCACTAAAGTCCATTAAATTGTCATTAGTTTGAACTTGTGTAAAGCGACAGTTCCGAAAGAAGACTATAAGTTCTAATGAATGTTCTAAATTTGTAATTTAGAACATTCTATAAACTTTAATGGACGATTGTGCAACTTGGTGTAAGTATTATTTCTCGTATAATGTCCCTTAATTTGGAATTCAGTTAAATACTCACTGTGCTTATGTCACTTATACTAAAATAGTAAGTAAGTCGTATTACTAAAGACAACTATCGAGATAACAAGTGTTCAACACTCGGTAAAAACCTCCATTACTTCTCAAATCGTTTTCTTTTTTTTATCTTGTTAATTATCTCAGAAAACCTGTAAAATTTCTTTTTAAAAGGTCAGTTTTTGCACTGAAACGAAAGTTTATACAAAGTTACGAAACGTTTTATACCGTGAACTTAGTAATGATAAGATAAAAAATTGTTTGTTTGCATTAAACATGCTCAGAGACTAGTAGATCAATTTAAAAAATTCTTTCATCTACCTACGCGAAGCTACATCATACGCAGATTACATAGATTATAACAGCTAGTACCTAAGTACTATAAAGAAGAGTTCTTTTTTTGTAGTCGTATAAAAAAGTATTTTTTATTCCATTTGAAATGCTTAAGCATGGTTACCATACGAATAGATTGCGTGAAGGGCGGTTCAGTAGAATGTTGCAAGTCTAGTCGGTACCCGTTGACCGCTCATCACAGCCGCGCAGGACAAACTCCCTACTTGATAATAAACTTTTTGTAGTAAAATTAAAAAATAATCAGTATGATGTGAATTTGGACTAATAATAAAATTGCAACATTAAATTTGTTATAAGTAGTATTGGATACTATCTTTTTGATTAAATATGTAAACATTTCTATTTGTTCTGGACAATATTCTGAGTTACAAAATATGTACATAAAGCTCAATAAAAAAAATAAGTAGTAAATTATATTACTGAAAATAAACTTTCTGATGTTCCAAAAACAGCAATCTGAAGTATTCATTCAAAACGAAAAAAATCCGTCATGCTTCAACAGGCTTAGGAATGTCAACTTTATATACGCATAACTAATAATTAAAATTCCGTAGAAAAATGTAAAATACGCGCATATAAAATTTATTTAAACGCTTATCTGATTAAAATGCATGTAATAAACGGCTTTAACACATAATATTAAATACTCTACAACGCGTGCCCGACCGGCTGCTGAAGCGTCATCGCGACTCTGAGTCTCTGAATTTGTGTAATTCAACGAAGCATTTGACACAATATCTATTAATTCAAAGTAGAATATTCACCTCTGGAGTAGTCTGTTTTGTCGGTCTCTTATTAAGTTGTTACATTACCAAAACAGATTTCTTTCTTGTTTTACACTAAAAATCTTTAATTTTATCGATTTCAACATTTAATTTTTTAATTATTTAGGATGACTTGTATTTCATTAGATAGGTGAACTACGGGTACATTATTTCGAATAGCAGAACACCTAGGTGAACCAGGAGTACAAAAAGTTAACCGTGGAACACCTAGGTGAACCATTTTGGTGTTCTACGGCTCAGAAATGTATAGTCGATAAAAGTCATAACTTAAGCAAATATTTTTAACCTTGTATGAAGTAAGAACTGTCAATAACTAATAATATTATTATTCTTACTATTAACAGATCTCACTTCATCAAATTCTTGTTTAGGTTTGGTAAAACTATATAAGTTAAGACATATTCTCAAGTCATTACTTCTCGTACTTTCGACTACAGATACGAGTGTTAGTATTTAGACGTCCAAGGAAAAACTTATTTCAAAGACTTATCTTACTTATGATTGTTGTAATTAATATATTTGATCAATTTTTCATTCACAATGCTATAAGAAAAATATTCTTAATGAAAAGTGCTTAAAAACCAATGGCAAATATGGCAAATAAAATCCCTGGCAAAAATGATTAAATATAATTAGAACAAATTTTAATTGTAAAGTTTAAATTATAAACAATTTCAATCTACATATTATTTTAAATAATCATGAAATTGATATTACTACTGCACAAAATTTGAAGAAGGAAGCCTCGCTATCAAGTTCCAGATTGATAGACGTGGAATATGCCTTTTCATAATGACCCAACTGTAGTGCTTAAATTTTCTTTGATAATGCCGTCACGTCCTATAAGCGGCCGGTGAGGAGACCTCCCCACCTCCTCAAAAAGCACACCAGATATTCCTTTAGCGGTGCACTCATAGGAAAATCAATGGATAGAGAAAATTAGTAGATATAGTTGAAACGCCTCACCGATACTGTAACCCGATATAACGCTTTGTGGTGGTCCAGCCCGAAATATTTCCGTGGCCATATCGGGACAGAATAATTATCATAAAAATCCAGCGTTTGCGTTCGAGTTCATTTGACAGCGACAAAAACCGATACGTATGCTGTAGCTACTGATAACCTTACTGATAGGGTGTCTGACGTGTAACGTAGTCTTTGTTAGATCGTCCCAAGAACTTCCGTTAAAAAAGTAGCCAATGTGGACTGAAATAAAGTACTTTATAAGTAGTTCCTACATATAAGGGTCGGTGCATATTTAAGACAAGATACGTCGCTAATCACGCCTCGTCTTTTGCGGACCATTTCAATAATTTAACTACAAATTAACAGTATTAGTTCTGTAGACGTACAATAACAGAGATAAGCGTAATATTAAAGTATTTTAGATTATTATTTACACAAGACACCTAATAAAACAAAATAACTAATATTTCATCACTACAAAGTTCATTCATTTGGAAGTCAAAGCGGTGATGAGTCGAAATAACTATCTATATTGTAACTCTTAGTTATATTATCATTATTACGCAACAAAATGACGTAAGCAGCCGTTCCACTAGTGATAAACTCAGAGGCGAGAGTAGTCTTAAGTATTTACAAGGTTAATTCGTTGTAAAGTGCACAGTTTGTGGACAGAAACAATCGTGATGTAAGTATTACGGCCGGTTTTTGAACTGAGAAAAGTACAAAATCTCAACCCAAGATTATTCTCAATAACCTAAGTTTTTTTATTTTTCACAAGCAAAAAGGCCTAGTTTTTATCAAACTGCTATCAACTGAGCATTAATAAAACTAAAATCAGGAACGAAAACCTCTTTACGTGACGTTTAAGTTAAGTTTGAGACATGCTTAACTTTAAATAATCGATTTAGAAACCGGGTATTAGGTTATCTAGACATTTTACAAGATACCTACAAAAGCATGTTTTAGCTTGCTATATTTGAATAAAAATCACAGCCAATGACTTACCAACGAGTAAAAAATATTATTTGAATAAGTACAATATTATTTAGAATTATTTTTTAATAATATAAGGCTTTTAGACTAATAGGTTATTTTAATATCAATATTTTAACGCCTATCAATTTATATTAGCAATTATTAATATAGTAACTTTAGTCCTACAACACAGATCTGTGTCCTACAGTTACTAATATACAGAATTAAATAAATCGCATTATAATATTATTGTCACTACACTACAATTAAATGAAATGAAAATGTCTTTATTTAAGTAAGCTTGTAAGGTCAAAGGTGCTAGACTTTGGAATGGTCCAAAAAAAAATTTTGCCCTACCACTTGTTCAAAACATCTTTTAGCTGACAAGAAGATCAAGCGAAAGAAACTTACCAGCTCTTTATAATAAGTCATGACATTTACATAAATCATATCATTACTAAAATAGTACATATTATAAAAATAATAAATACAACTTTCAAAGTCTGTAGGACATATGTTGGTACATATAATTAGCAATGCATTTACCCAGAAATGATCCCCTGGTTTTTTAAGTGTTAAGCTTGGAACGGCAAGTTTATTTTTGTTTCTTGTGTTAAGATTACGAACACTACTTTTTTGTGAAGGATTCGTAATGATTTCTTGCGTAAATAATATTTTCATAGATGTTGAGACAAAAAATAAATATTTTTAGTCGAAATATTTATTTCATTATTTAAATAAATATTTTGACTGTTGCAGTCCAAAAATTTATTTCTTTAAATATTTCTCTGAGATTCCCTAGACCGTACATTACATATAGCGCGGACATCTCTCTTTTGTAGAATAAAAATATCGTGAACGCTAGCCGCAGAACCCCACAACAATAGACCATACGTCATTACACTATGAAAATATACCAATCTTGCCGTTTCAACATTTGTTAAGAGTCTAATTTTCTTAACAGCAAAATCTGCAGAACTCAGTCTACTTGACAAGTTATCAATATGGGGATCCCTTGGGGAAACTATGCATTTCGTTTTATTTAAATTGAGTTTTAAATTATTATTATCAAACCACTGTAGAACATTGTGGAGAGCATCATTTACATCGTCAAAACAATCTTTACCCATCTTAACTTTAAACACTAAAGAGGTGCCATCTGCAAATAATACTGTCGCGCACAAATTCTTCGTAAAGTGAGGAAGATCATGAATGTAAATTAGAAAAAGCAATGGTCCTTATATCGATCCCTGAGGTATGTACGCCCATAGTAATGGGTGTCCCTGCAAATTTCGCTTCATTCATTACTACTTTTTGAATTCTAGCAGAGAGATATGATTTTATTAGATTAAGTCAATTTTTCGTCACACCATAATGCTCTCACTTCCCCAACACAGTTTCATGTTCATTGTTTCTCAATTACTTTACTTAGCGCTGGTAGTATAGATATCGGTCTGAAATTACTGGGATCAGACTTGTCGCCTGCCTTGAAAAGTGGGATTATTTTACCATATTTCATTAAATCAGGAAAAGATACCACTACAAACATTGTAAATTAAGATACTGCCAAGGCATTTAGAACAAAGAAACCTACATCGCCCACAATAAGTTTCATTACCAATTCGCATAAATAGAATGTCCAACCTACATCGGTAGGACCGCGGCAGTCCCGGGGCTAACAACACCTAGCTCGGAGGGAGACAATTACCTTTAGTCTCCCTTGCCAGTTATCTCCATTCCATCATCCAGTAAGACTACACCTTCACCATAACAGCTCCTGCAAGTTCCTTCATCAATGCACTTATTCAAAATAAAAGTTAATTGAGGCGCTATAGATGGTATTAAAGATTTGATAAGTTGATAAGTTGAAACGCTCCAAAGATCTTCAAATACAACAAGCCATTCATTGACCACTGCTTGAAATGTTTTATTTACCTTGTATCTTGTAAATTGAATTTCAGGAAATTGATGGATGTCATAGTTATCGGCTGCGGTGCTTCAGGTATCGCAGTTCTACGGAGGCTGCATGATGCAGGACTCACAGCATTGGGTCTCGAGGCAGCCGGCAGGATCGGGGGCAGAATAAACACTGTGCCTTTTGCTGATAACGTCGTCGACTTAGGAGGAGCATGGTATAAACAGTTCATTATATTGCAAGAAATAAAAGGACATTGCCACTTCAAAAACTTTGAATTTAAAGTAAAGATTTGCGGGACATAAATTAAATTCCATGTAACTGTTAAATATGATAGGTACTTTAAGGGCGCTTATGCACTACACTGAATTTTCAGGACAGGCGGTCCGATTTTTTCCGGTCCGGAATGACATGAAAAACCCGGATGACTTGTCCGTTTTTTTCTGATCGGAGCGGCGCAGTGTAGGGCAGCTCTCTTAATGATAGATCAATCGTTGGCGCCATTTCGTAAACAAATCGAAATTAGTGCCGTGTAAGCGGTGAATTAATAAGCTAAATGAACTTTACGAGATCAGTTGACTGTATTACATATAGGCATAATTTTATACGCGTGGTATAGTTTCTTTGAGCAGAAATATTTTTCCCTTAGAATATATTTTTTTAATTTATTTATGACACAGTAACTTCAAATTTTATTACAATATAGAATTAAATGCGAAAAAGACATTGAGTATCACTTAATTACTTCTGTTAATTTTCTGTTTATTCTTTATTATTTCTTCTGTTATAAAATATTTATCTATACTTATCAATTGTCTAAAAAATTTGACAATGACAAATTTCCGGGCAAACTTTTAGCCCCTATTTTTCGCGATAAAATGTAGCCTATGTCCTTTCTTAAAGTTAAGTCAATTTACTATATTAATTTCCATTAAGATGGGTTCAGTTGTTTAGGCGTCTAAGCGAAACAACACTTAATTATCTTACCTTAAGTTATTGATGCTTTTAATACAATTCTAAAATCTAGCTAAGTATTGATACTAGAACCATACACTGATCGTATTAGAACTGTACTGAGTTTGCCAAAGCATATGCAGTGATATTTACCAACTATATTAAATCATCATATAAAATATAGCATTTTATAATCTACAATAAATATCGAATTATGAGTTTTTTGGAAATTAACGATATCGCCGAAGTAAATATCGATTATTTTTTCCCAAGCCTATTCCTTATTAATTTCCCGGATCGCGGATACAGCAGTGCACAAGCGTAAACACGTTCTTCATTGCCGCCATCACGAACCTGAAAAAACCGGTCTGGAATAGAGAAAAGTAAAATCCCGGACCATATGGCCTGACATATCGGACCGGAAAAAATCGAATCGTCGGACCTGAAAATACAATGTAGTGCACAAGCGCCCTTAAAGTTACACAGTCAGATCAATTAAAAATACCGGGCAAGTTCTAGGTCAACGGGAAAATCTCATAAGATTTTGATACCCTGTTCAAAATGTAAGTTTTTGCGGCATAATTAATTTTTTCACAGCTTCGAGAACTATAGGCCTGAGTATTTGGTTTAAATTTCATAACATTCAGATATATTATGATAATAAATGACATCGTTAATAAATTACAAAATTTACAGATTGAAATTTTCAGGTGTCATGGAGAAAAAGATAATATCGTATATGAAATCGCAAACCCTCTTGACCTACTGGGCAGACCAGATCCAGATAAGATCTGGTACTTATTATCCAACGGCAGTTTTGCACCTGATATCTTAATAAAAGATATGGTTCAAGCAGTGGCAGATTCTGTAAGCGAAGCTGCGAAGGATGATATTACTTCGATAGCCGAATGTGTTGTTAAAGCGTAAGTTTCACCAATTTCGAATCAAACTGTTTAAAACAATCGAACATAACCTTAACTTGATTGTTCAACGTCATAAGGTCCGTTGGCTTTGTGAATTAGTCAGATTTGGTGCATTTCGAAAATGTACTTATATTTTTAATAGACTTTTAGGAACCGTAAGGTTGAAGGTGTTGGTTCCTACTTGGTGATGGAGACAACTGGCCAGGGAGACTAAAGGATAATTGTCTCCCTCCGAGCTAGGTGTTGTTAGCCCGGGGACCGCGGTCCAACCGATGTAGGTTGGACGATCTAATTATTCTAATTAGTAATGAAACTTATTCTGTGCGATGTAGGTTTCTTTGTTCTAAATGCCTTGTAGTTATCAATTTATGTTGTTTGTATTGGTACAGCGCCATCTCGTTACTTGCTGTTGAAACTTATTGCAGTTCGTCTTGCTATCGATGGCTGTGACGATGCTAGTCTTCTCGCTATCGATTGTTGTGGCGATGTTACTGCGATGAATTAGATGTCGCTATGTATCAGTCGCCACAGACTTTAAAGAGAATAGGTTCTCAAAACGACCCTATTTTTTATGTATGTTATCGCATATCTCCGGTATTTAAAATTCGATTTGAAAAAATATTTTTGATTCACAAAAGAGTACTCTTTTGTTTTGTTACGTGAGTCTTATAGAAATTTGGTTAAACACCGGTTATCAATGTGGAAGATATTCCAGAGAACTCCTCAAAAATCCACAGAATAAGCCCTGCGATTAAGTTTTAATGATTGACCTACTTAACTCTGATCATGAAACTGAATTGTGATTAGTATTATTTATCACTTTTTTACTAGGAAGAATTCAATTTATTAGTTCATAATCTCTGTTTTAAATTTATGTTGTAGGGCAGCACGACTTAAATATTTGTAAATTTGTAAACAGATTCCATTAGGTATCATAACAGGGAATTACGCATAAAATCATTATATACCTACTTAAGTACTAGTCTTGCTCAAGCTTCCTTAGTCTATGATAATAAGATTGTAAAAGTTCACTTCCACTTATAAAGACGTTTACAGAGCAGAATCAAAGGAAATTTTTAAGAATTCGGATTTAACACGTCCTCTCATCGAGTGGTACGGAAGAATTAATCATCTAGGAGGCGAGGATGACCCTAAGAATGGAAAATCTTTAAGAGGGTTGACTGAAAACTGGGTTTGCGAAGGAGAACCAACGCTCAACTGGAAAGGGAGAGGATATAAGACTATACTGGATGTTTTGCTAGTAAGTTGGAACTCTATATATAAATATAAACTAATTAGTTCTTAGCAAAATGGCTTCTATTCCCATTTCGAGCTTTTCGTAAATGAATCATTGGAGACTGGTGTGTTTTCAGACAAATGGAAATCTACGTTGATGGTCCCCATATACTAAAAAATAACAAGAGACATCTTATATCTGAATATCGCCCAGTCTCTAAATTATATGTGCTAGGTAAAATCCTCGAAAAATGGTTACAGCTGATATTGCAGCAGCAGCTTTATCTCCACACAACAACATGGGCTCTATCGGCAGAGAAGCGTTGACAGTAAAATTATGACTTATACAGAGTTCCTCGCACAGCCAATGGATTAAGTAATTCACGGGTGGACGTCGTTAGACTTCTCGAAGGCCTTTGTTAAATTAGCCACAATATACTAATTAGTAAGCTTATGGGCGGCCAGTGTGCATTTCTTCTTAGATAGATCCAATCCTACATTAAAAAGAAATCAGGCGGTTTGTATCAAAGGATACTTACTATTCATAACAACAAACATTTCACGGAGCTCACACTTAGGCCCACTCCTATTTTCGTTTTATATTAACGATATCGGCCGAAGTCTTTAATAATAGCCACCATTACCAAGATGCAGAAGATTCCAAATTTTATAGAATTGTAAAATCCCATGACGCTTGTATTAAGTTGCAAGCTGACATTTAAGCTCTACATAATGATTGCTTAAGAAATCAACTTTTTACCAACTTATAGTAATTTATAATTTATAGCTGAATCGCCAATCCAAGACGGATCGTTAGGTGTGATGTAAATATTGCTGTATGTAATTGTGGTATGTATGAAATTGACTTGATTTTATTTACCTTTTCACAGAACCGACATCCAGATCCTGCGAAAGAGATCCCAGTGGAAATCTTGCTGAACAAAGAAGTGGACAGTATCAGATGGGGCACCATTCAATTCGGTAAAGATTCTACCAAATCCCTCGTACACGTTACATGCAAAGACGGCAGCCTGTTCATGGCAAACAGCGTTATCATCACGATACCATTGGGAGTGTTGAAAGAAAGGTAATATAATTGTATCTGATATTGTTATATGATACCTATAATTATTGGACACCGCGACTGGTACATATTTTTCAATACATACTTTATCTATGCAGAAGTCTAGTATGTTTAAGACAACCTACTCTGAACTCTTTTTTCTTTCTTCTTCTTTAGAAACGTAGAAACTATGAATGTTATCCAAATGTACGAACTAAATTTATAAAACAATGTTAGCCTACTTTACAGTGAACACTAATTTGGAAACATCACTAAACCACACCATATTATTTTACAGACATCATCACCTATTCAAGCCATCATTGCCCGCCAACAAGATCACTGCTATAAACAACCTAGACTTTTGTATCCTCGACAAAATCTACGTCGAGTTCACCGAAGCGTGGTGGTCCAAAGCTCCTGCACAATTCAACATCCTGTGGCGAGAAGAAGACAAACAGAAATTTTCCGAAATGAAATGGGTGACTTCTATATTTGGAGCGAACACTGTGGCAGATCAGCCTAACGTACTTCTGTTCTGGATATATGGTAACGGAGCTAAGGATATGGAGGAAGCAAGCCAAGAGGATGTTGAAAAAGGTGTTGAACAGCTTCTGACGATGTTCATGACAAATTTCGACATAACCCCGATAAAAGCAGTACTCAGGTAACAATTTGTCGTACAATTATGTAACTACCAGCTTTCCGCCAGCAAACTACTAGCTTTTCGCCGACGTGGTCCCTAGGGAACTATTTAGTGGGATAAAAAGGTCTAACTCAGCTAATACCTAAATAGGCCAGTGCCTATTTCACTGGTTTTCTATCCCATAATAATATCTAACGTAGTATACGTATACCCTAGTTCGATCGATAGGTGTTAACGCCTGCAATGGCAGCTTGAAGCAGTTTACCCGCTAACAGACAGAGGAACTCGAGCGAGCAAACTTTGGTCACCAACCCAATGATCAATCTTTTGGTTATTTGCGTGGCCTCCACAGTCTTAAACCTGAGGATCTGTACAAATTTGACGGAAGATCCTTCGAGCGGAGCAACGGAATTATGCGCTATATCGACGGATCATCCATTAGTCGTACAAGGTTGAATGTCATAATGTCTATTCGTCTGTTAAGACGTTTTACGACGCATTTTCTAAGAATAAACAAAACTTACACTTACACAACTTACACGATGACATAAAATACAGTTTATTAAACTACTTAACATCCCAGAACCCGAATAAAGGTACTTTTAGAAACCCATATCAGATCAAATGAACTATCTTTGGCATGGCAAAATACCTTCTAGATGCCCTAAATAGGCTGTAACGTATGCATTATTTATGTTGAATTCATACACTTCATGCCACTTCAAATGACGAGATATTGCCTCATTTCAACATGCTTTGCAAGCTTCTAAATTTTAAATAATATAAGAATAATTATTGGTCACCCGTTTGACCAATGTGACATCTCCCTTATTCAATTTCCAGATCACAATGGGCCACAAATCCTTTGGCCCGTGGTGCTTATTCTTACCGCAGCGTCAGAACAGAAGAGCACGGAGGCAGCGCGTTAGATCTGAGCGAGCCCCTGTACCAAAACGACGAGTTCCCTGTCGTCTGCTTCGCGGGTGAAGCGACGTCCCATCATCGTCATAACTCAGTACACGGGGCAATAGAAGCTGGCTTTAGAGAGGCCGACAGACTGATCGATTGTTTCAAAAAATTGAAAGAAAAAAGTTCCTAATTTAACAATTTTCAATTTTATACTCATTAGGATAAGATCCAATTTTTAATAAGATTGTAAAAAATTACTGAAATAAAAGTATGAATATTGATAAAAACAACAATAACTCTAGTTATTTCTTTTAGCGGCATCTTTTGGAGACGATGACCACACGGTGGTAGAATTTATAGAAACTAAATGAGGACGAATTTTTTTTTACATTTAAATAAAACATTTTGTTGTAAAAAACGATTTTCTCTTTATTATCTTCATTATTATTTTCTTAAATTATATCACATAGATGTACAATATACGATGATCAAAAGTAGACAAAAGTCGATGATCAAAAAATAAATAACTAGAAAAATCGGTTGGAATGTACGGAACTTAGAAAATTCCAGATCACAGTTCAAACCTAAACAAATATTGTTGACTGTGTTCCATACAATAAAATGCTAAAATAAATTATTTTAAAAAAAATGACAAAATTTAAGTCTCTTTTTATGAAAAAAAAAATATAAGTATTCATTGGTATAGGTATGGACATACCGACATCTTTACCTCTACTGTGTACAATATCCACTTTAAATAATCGAACATTTCTTTGTATTACCTAACTAATATCTTTCTTATCATCACTAGAGTATATAACAACATCGGAATTCGGTACCACCTTAGTATTAATTATATTACCGAGCTCGTCAACATCGCACACAGTGATAACAACTCTATTGTCATCGGCGTGAGGTGTATTTTTCAACGTGTTCTCATCGTCACCTTTGAGAGTTATCTCAAATCTTTTGGGAGTAGATTCCGTAGCTTCGGCCACTTGTTTGATGTTGAATTCGAATGAGGTTTTCAAAGATTCCTTTGGATCACTGTAGCCGTCTACGATTTTCTTAGAAACTTCTAGAATTTCGTAGCGAGTCGTTGTCAGTCTGTACATACCGTCTTCGCTTATTTGGTATCTGATGACGAAATATTAAAAAAAAATATCATTATCATTGCAAAACATTGGCCGAATGGCTCGTACACCGATTTAAAAATGTCGCCACCTCTGATCAATAAAGAAAATGAACTTTTCAATATTGTCTCGAATCTAGGTGGTGCGGTGTCCTTCAGATTTCCATAATACAAGGACTTATGTGACTCAGAATGAGATAAAGTTTGTGGTGTTATTTATTATTATTACCCCTTTTACATCTCGTCTGCAGTTCTCTGCTGCATTACAACAACATCTTAAAGTAGCGCAGGGCTATACATTTGGTCGCCGAAATTTGAAAGTTTGCTTATTCTTCGCAACCGTAAAAAACGCTCTAACCACCGAGTTCAAGATTAAAAACAAGAAAAATGTTACGTTACAGAGTTTGCAACCAAAAATTTCATTTCCTTTTTCTTCATTTGAATTATTGACATATATGTCAAAAATTTATTTTGAATGAGAAAATGACAAACTACGTCCGAATTTACTATAAATATTTTCTCTTTATCTTTAATAATTATATAAATTGAAATCAAGTAAACTGTATTCTTACTAATGATTTATGCAAACCGAGTAAAGCTGTGTACCCGATTTAAACCATTAACTATTAAATATTCAAGCTTATTCCTGAATTTAAAATTCGAACTAACGGACACCCTACTAATGCAGCGTCTCACTTTTACTCACCTAAATCGGCTATGTCCAAAAGGCCATTGAGCACCGTGCACTTGCACCAGATGTGTTGTAAGTCTAGAGCCTCTATGGAACACCTTCATACTCTTCTCTGGGCACATGTGGCAAGCGTACTTCCTCACCGGTTTACATTGTTTAGACTCGAGATCTGAATGCTCCTCATCGGATATATCCAACCCACTGTTTTCGGTGTTGCTACGCTTCCGTTTGCGAGTGTGGATCGGTAAATGTTTTCGGAGGTCCGATTTGCAGACGGCTCTGTTAAAATAATAATATAAATAAAAATACAACCCAAGTAACTCCAATATGTCCCGAATAAGTGAATGGACTGAATTTCATAATAAAAACGGTTGATAGCTTTATATTGTAATGACATCCGTTTCTACAGGTTCAAAAAGAAGGATGCTCAATTCTGTCAACATCGAGATGTGCAATCATCGTGTATAGTAAATCAATATATCGTATAAAATAGCTTTTTTTTGTTATTATCAGAGGTCGGAATTAGGTAGAGTTATTTATGTACTTGCATCGAAATGTTGATATTAATGTGGACCTTCCCGGGATTCCTTTATTTCTTCTTTCTTTATTTCTTTCTTTCATTGATGTAAGTTTGGCAACGTCGTGCGTGCAGTAGTTTAAATTGTGTAAAAGTAAATAAATTTTATTTAAAAAATCACGGGATTTTTTTCTGCTTTTTAAAATTAATCTCGGGATTTGAGGCATATCCACTTTATTCTTTCGCTGTATGAAATCAGTGTAAGTACATGAATAACTCTACCTAATTCCGACCACTGTTTATAATAAACCATCTTTCACAAAAAATGTTAGCAAGGAACTAAATAAAGATATTATTAAAGATAATAAATATTGGCTACTTATATTTTATACCAGAACGCTACCATTAGAAACGAACCTTTAATAACCGGTCCTTTTCATGATCAATGAGTCATCTAACAGTCAGTTGCACAAACTTCCAATAAAAAATTTACATTACCCATACATATTTGACATTCATTATAGCTTAAAGGCGTCATTAAACCTTAATGTACGTTTGTGCAACTGACCGTATGTGTCGCCATTTCTCATTTTAAGAAAAACCTATTGTATTCGTTACTTCCAAATTAATTAATGTCATAACAATTATACAATAGCTGTAGTATTTTATTTGAAGTTTTAGTCAATTATAAAAGAATAGTTGAAGGATAAATACATTTAAAAAGTGTAGATGAGGAAACGGAACTCTCTGATTGAGAGGAAGTGGTATAAATACCTTATTGAGAGAAAGAATCAAGATGCAGCATGTTATTATATTTTAATTGAAAATAATATAAATGGGAGAGAAGGCACTGAAGGATACTGCTGCAGCTGCTTGGCGTGACGACAAACCTTTGGTATTTATGATACCAAACAACATCATTCCTCAGGAGTATTTTAAAATAAAGTCATTCTTAAGGATGATGTGGAACAAAAATAAACTTGGTCACTCTCTGTTTCGTTTACAGCCTTTTCTACACAAGCATAGTAGGCTTACCAGTGATATTCTTTATAATGCGAATGTGTAATGAGTAAAAACGAGATTTTTTTTGTGGTATTAGCTAGTATTCACTAAAGAAATTTATGACATCTTGCTCTTGTTCATTATAGTTTTTCTTATAGTTTGATTCGATTGGAACAGTATGATTAGATATGGATTATATTAATTAAAATATTTCTTTACGATTAAATTGCTAAATCCGATTTCTAATCGATGTTTTGCAACATAACCTCAAAATCTTTATTTTATCATTAATTTATATCAATAACAATGTTTTACGGATATATTTGGAACAGATAAATCAGCAACATCAATATATATCAACTTAAAAAAAAATGCTTTTGAAACTGAACATTCTTCTTTCCATTCATTTCCATAAGAACAAGATCCAAATCAAAATATAACATTCAACAACAAGCACTACAAAATGATTATCCTTTGTCAACTCGGATGCACTCACTTGTAGTCGCAGTGCGGGCAGCCGTGGTGCCGGGCGGCGTGCGGCAGGTGCCGGTAGCGCACGTGCGTGGCCAGCGCGGCGGGCGTGGGCGCGGACATGTCGCACAGCGCGCACGCGTACATGGACACGTGCTGGCGCGTGTGCTCGCGCAGCAGGTACTCCGTGCCCGCGTACGCGCCGCACACGCTGCACGTGTAGCTGCAGCTGGGGTTCTGGCGCGGCACAACGTCTATTACGTCTTGGACGATCACCACTCTATCTCTTAAGAAATGCTGATACGACTTCGGGGAAACGCATTTTTCGTTTATTCATGATGCATCGCACGTTGGAGTGGGATCTCATCGGAGGCACAGAGCGTCTCACGGCTATGATTTGTTTGTGAATGTGAATTATCGTACGTGATTAAATAAGATATGTCCTCAGGCAGCGTTGCCAGATTTTTTTTTGCTTAAAAAATTTAAGTCGTTATTTCCACTTATAATTATCATTATGCGCCAGGTGGGCGGCCAGTCCACACTTGTTCATGGCACCCGGCTGCGCTTCCTCAGCACGCTGCACGAACGGTCGAGTTATCCCCGAAAGTGGAAACAAACCTGTCCCGCACGGGACATTTAATTTCTATTTAAAAATCGGGACGTCCCACCTAAATCGAGACATCTGGCAACGCTGGCCTCAGGTATCATGTTAATTCATACGAGTTACAACACCTATATAGTGGACAGGGGAGATTTTTACAGGGCATGTGACCATTGAATGCATTCTTGATCCTAAATTGACACACTGTTATGATACAATATTTAATTGTTACGTTCTTTACCTGTCTCCTTGCGTGATCTACCAGTTTCCTGTTGCACGCAAAGTGCTGTCCGCAATGGTAGCAAGCTATGAGCCTCTCGCCCGTGTGTGAGCGTACGTGCATCGTCAGTAAAATACGCCGGGTAAACGTCATTCCGCATCCAGCCCATGAGCATAGCAGAGCATCTGTATACTTTATGTGCAACTTTACATGATCGAAGAACACCTGGTAAATTATATTTATACTTAAATTATGTAAAGCAGCTTAATAGTGCACAGTCTCTAAATTAAGCAACAGTATCAGACCAGGGTCTGCAGATGGCCAAAAATTTATTATATCAAATATATTTTGAAAAAATACTTTATTCAATTAAATTTAATGTTAGAACTTTTGAGTTGAACACTTATTTTCAACCCAATAAGACTTCGTATGTTTTGGCTGACAAGAAGAATGCCATAATAACATTATTTAGAATGACTATGAAACAACTTTTAAACAGTTGCATTATGTTTGTATTTAGTTTTATTGACGTTTTAGACCCTTAAGACCCATATTACATCTCAAATGTGATTTCTGCGTGATTTTTCTCGGAAACAAAAATAAATTAACAATTTTGACTTGTTGAATAGTGAATAACTCTTGGTATAGAAATAAGTGGTCTAAGTTTTTGGAAATTTTACTCATCTTTTTAATTAAACAAAAATACCAGAGAAAGATTTTCATACAATGCGCAAAGACACTTTTTTTGAGCTCCTGGATTGAGCTACTGTTCTTAACAAACGAAATAAAAGAAATAGAATGATATCTCTTATATAGTCGTAAAGTAAACAGTAGCGTCGAAATTTTGAAATAGCACTGATTAAATATAGAAAAACAATCATATTACAAAGGTGTTGATTTTCTCTATAATTAATAGTTTATTCTTGATTAAAAAAAAAAACAATATTCTTCATACCAATACTATTGGTCACATTCACAGTACAAAAATGTTGATGTTTGATGGCAATTTTACCATTTATTAAATTATTTTAAAAATGCATTTGACTTATTACCACCAGTTCTAAAATTGGGAGTCTTGTCTAAGAAAAACTGGTGAAACAATATCTGACAAGAAAAGTGAATTGATACCTGTTTTAATATTTACATAATGAACTAACTGTATCTTTTGGTTTTGCAATGTGTGATCTGGATTGTGATTTGACTAATTACCGGACCATTCGACTTATTATTTGGATGCTTTTTAAATTCAAGATCCTCACATGAATTTTTGTTCAGCTGCAGGTATTTCATGTGTTCGGAGCCCATCAAGGGTGCCAGACACAAAGTGATTTTTTGAGCATTTTTCATTAAGAATAGACTATAATGATACCTGAATAGAGTTGAACTTTTCGTTGCAATCTGTCCACATACAACAATGTTCACTTTTCAAAGGAGGCAGCTGGTTTCTCTTTGTGGAATCTTTGTCACATTTTACCAACTTCAATGTTGCCCTCCCATTGAAGCCGATAGCCATCAAACGAGCATGATAGGCATGATAATTTACATGTCGCACCATTTCTTTGAAATCTGAGCTATTATGGCCACACACATCCCAAAGACAGACATACTCGACTAAAAACAGTAAAACGAATTATTATAAACCAATGCTGGCATGGGAAACTTTAACAATACAGTTTTTAAAGAATAATAGAAGTGCTTCTCAGTTTGCTATTTTTTCTGTCCGTACGAACCTTCAAAACAATGGCTGAATTATTTTAATTATTGTATTTGCACTCGAAAAGACATTTAGTAATTAAATTCATAGTATCTAAATAAAAATTACAGTCAGATTGAAATTTAAGTGGATATAAAGCACCCTACTCATAAGTCAATAGCACAGTCTCACAGTCACTATTTGTGAGTGTAATAAACACAATCCTATTATACAGTCCAAATTTTCAATACTGAATGCAGGCACTATGGCATGCATTGCAGAACCAGATTGGGACTAGTTAACATACTTTAATACATACCGTAGCCTTCTTTATCGATCACATGCAAATCTGATATGTGTTTCTGGACATGTCTTTGAAAATCTTCATAGTTATTATAACTCCAATGACATGACCCCCATTGACAATCCATCTTAAGCCAATCAACTCGTAATTTATGTAAAGGCTGAAACAAAAAGTATAACCTTTAATATATTTACATTCATATAAGTCGTGATAGGGATGAGGAACGCTAAGTTTTATGTGTAGAAGTAGAATGTAAGGCCCACAGAATATTCTGGACAATAATCATCTGGGTGTCAATTCTCTCAATGGTTTTCAATAAGCTTACTTTGCTACTGTAAAAATTGTCTACAAAGTAAAGGATATTATACTGTTAATGACAAAAAGGCATGATGTAATGGAAAGTCACTTCATATTCTAATGAAGTCACTTTTCAATAAGACTTCTCTGTGTGAAATAAAACAGGGAGAAAAAAACAGCCCTTGCTGAGTTTCTTGGCGGTTCTTCTCAGTACAAGGTCTATAGTTTTGCGAACCGATGGCATAGTTTTCGACTTTCACAAGTGCTCTGTAAAAGCCTAAACTGAATAAGTAAATTTTGATTTGATATGATTTAAACAAATTCGTGGTAAAGTTAGATTATTCCAGTTTTTCTTACTGCCCATTCAATACAAATCTCCCAATTTGATTCCATCCATGGGAAAGACCTGTGCCGTAACGTTAATAAGCTGATAATAATGAAATTCAACAGAAGTATTATAAAGTCATGACTTAATAAAAGCAATGAGCACTGCTATTCATTTCTGAAAGTAATGTTATTAATACATGTAATGAAACTGAAAATGACAGTTTATTTACAACAGTCTTTGGCTCCTCTTCGGGTTCGCCCACTCCTGCTGGAAGAGTCGCATCATCCTCAGGAATTGACTGCAGAAATTTTTTTCTTGCTGCATTTGTTTGAATTATGAACTGAATATCATTCTTGTTTTGCTGTGAAAGCCTTTTAGTATTCAAACTGTTTTGTTCTTGAAGCCAGTCCTTACACCGTAAAACCTGTAGTTTCGAAGAAGCTTTTTCAGGACTAGTCATTCTAAATATTAAAATTAAAATCCTAATAATATTATTTTGAACTTTTCTATCACTTTAATGTACTATATTGCGTAATAAGTTCTATTTATATGTACAAAAAACTATCTCAAAAGAACAAAAAACTCTTGAAAGCAACTTGAAAGAAACAAAAACCACAAACTATAAAAATCAAATCAAAATCTCAGACCAAATAAAAAGTCAAAATCTAAAGGGATGCAAACAATTAGAGATGGACGTTTAAACAACAAAAAGCACTTAAGCATGCTTTTCTAAATAAGTGCAAAAGCGCTTTTTCACGTAGAAGAAAAATATGGTAATGGTTATTGTAAGTCCCGCCATCTATTAAGATATTACTACTAGCTTCAATCAATTTTTCTGTTTCGGCATTTATCTCTTAGAGGGCAGCACTTTACATAAATGCACTGTATGTATTATACTATAACACGTGATATCCATCTAGACTTTTTGCAACAACTTTCTTCATTGGTTAATCCAAACGCTTTTTTTAAACGGAATTTTAAAAAAGCAGTACGGTTTTCGTTGTTGAAGTAAATACACTTTGTGTTGAATATTAATTATTGCGTAAGTTGAATTGTATGCGTAAATAAATTGCTACTTAGGTTTAAAGAACTTTATTCTCATAAGAAATTTACATTTCACTTATAATGAGATGAGTATGAATACAATAAAATTATATTATGCTAGGTTTGCACTGTTGTACAATCTTGTATATGTTGCAAAAGTTTTTTTTTTTTAAACATTTAAGTTATTCCAAAAAAGATGGAAGCAGGTGAAAAAAAGTTTAGGCTTGTAATTGACTATCGAAAAGTTAACGAAAATATTAAAGACGATCGCTTTCCCTTACTTAACATTGTCGATATTTTGGACTCCCTTTCGGGCGCTATATATTTTAGCCACCTTGATCTGCAAAATGGGTACTATCAATTTAATTTAGACAGTGACAGTAGGAAATGTACTGCTTTTACATTTGATAAACAATATCAAATGAAACGCATGCCAATGGGGCTTAAGACTAGCCCTAGTGCATTTTCAAGGGCAATAACGGTTGCATTATCCGGACTTAACTAGAGTTTGGCAAGCGAAACGTGACACCACCTATTTTTCCGTTTTCATATGGCAACAACATAGAACTGTCAGTTTGACACTACGTTAGACAATTCAAGAATATTGAATTTTGTTGTTTTTGCGAATTTGAACTTGTGTTTTTGGTTAAAAATTATGTCGAAGCCGATAAAAAGTTCATCGAGGAAACTTCTTTCCATCATGATTGACAAGTTTACTGAAGTGAAAACTGAATTAAATAAAAATTTCATGGAGAAATTACAACGATTAGATAAAGTTGTATCTTTTTTAGGTTAGTTTTGTATTATAATTTTGATACTTTCGTTTTAATTTTCTGTAATTAACTAAACAGATATTTTTTATAAAATATTGCTCTATTTCAGATAACTGTGATGGTGATATTCAACCAATAATGGAGGAGATAAATGCAATAAAAACTTTAGAAAAACAAGAAATGCTGAATTCGGAAACGCAGTACTTACAAAAAATTTCTTCAATGACAGGTCTCTTTTCTTGTTTTGATTTAAGATAGATTGATAGTATTCCTATAATATTTACATAGGTTTTTTATGATGTATTGGTTTTTATTGTTGACATCCAATGATGTCATAAGAATGTTTTGTTTAACAAGGAAATTCACAGAATTCATGAAACTAATCAAACCATGTAATTGTTATACATGCTAAATATGCACATAAACTTAACTAAATTAAACATAAATTGCATTCATAGTTGAATAGGTATTTAAATTATTTTGATGTATGTGTCTATCATTATTTGCTTTTAAATACATTTAACATATCTTTGTTTCAAAGTGTTTAATCTTTTATAGATGTAAGTATAAGGACACTAAGAAGGATAAAAAATGAAGCATTAATTAATAAAGGAAAATGGGACACTCCTGGGAAAAAACGACCTCATCAACCAACAGTGTCTGCTTTAGATAATTTTGATTTAAGTGCAATTCGGAATAAAGTAAATGAATTTTACTGTGTGAAAAAAATTGTTCCAACATTAAGAAGCCTTCACAATGAATTAAAAGATGCAATAGGATTCAGTGGTAGCCGTGAGACTTTACGAAAAATTATGCTTAAGAATGGATTTTCTTTTAAAAGCAATGAAAATGAACGTTCTATGCTTATAGAAAAATACCAGATTTCTGCATGGAGGCACAAGTATTTGAGAGAAATAAATATAAAACGAAACGAAGGAAAGCAAATTGTGTACCTTGATGAAACTTATGTACATCAGAATTATAAAGTTAAAAAGTCTTGGCAAGGACCTTCAACAACTGGTGTCACTACAAAGATATCCTCTGGAAAACGGCATATTGTTGTGCATGCTGGATCTGAGGAAGGTTTTGTGCCTGGTGCATTATTAGTGTTCAGTAGTAAATCCAAATCTGCTGATTATCATGATGATATGAACTCATCGAACTTTATGAAATGGGTCAGAGAAAAATTAATACCAAATTTAAGTAAGCCCAGTGTAATTGTTATGGATAATGCCAGCTACCATATAAAACAAATCAATAAACCGCCTATAATGTCTAATACCAAAGCAGATATCCGTAAATGGCTTGTAAATAATGGAATACATTTTGAGGAATATCAGACAAAGGCAGAGTTAATGTGTTTGGTTAATGATAAGAAAACATTGCCTGTATATGAAGCTGAAGAGATTTTAAAAGAACATAATCATGAACTTTTATTGCTGCCACCGTATCATTGTGACTTAAACCCAATAGAGATGGTTTGGAGTCAAGCAAAAAGAAAAATTGCAAGCAGAAACATTGGAATACCAGGAAAGGAAATGGAAAACTTAATAATAGAGTGTTTTAACTTAATTACCCCTAGTGACTGGAAGAAATACACTGATCATGTTTTAAATGTCGAAAATGATTACAAATTAAAAGATGGCATTGTTGAAAACGAACTTGAAAAATTTATTATATCTGTTGGTGCAGACAGTAGTGAAGAGAGTGACTCTGATGATTCCTTGTCATTGTTATCAGGTGTAGAATATTTAGAAACAGATTTTGACTATGAATCAGACTAAAGTATTTTTAGTCTGATTCATAGTCAAAATCTTATCTTAAATTTTCTATTGTGATTAACATGATGATTTTGTGACACCTGTATTATGTAATTTATCCATGGCACTTAATTGTAACAAAAATAAATGTTTTTTTTATTGTAATCTGGTGTTTATATTGACTAATTTAATTTGATAGATAGTGTTTCTGGATCAGAGCAAAAGGTTGTGATGAAAATCCCTTAGGAGACATGTATGTGTTATGAACACATTATAAATATAAGGGCCAGAAATCAAAATTGGCTAACATCACATTTATTAAAAAAATGTGGCCAGAGTCGCCCATATTCATTACAAAAAAACAAAGAAGTCGTTGCAAAAAACACCCTTTTAATTAATGACAAATATGAATTTTTAATATTATAAGTGCTGTTAGCCAATAGGTATAACGAATGGGTTAAAAAAAAGATTCGATTTAGTCCGTCAGTCAGATAATAGAAAAATATTGGATACGTATTTTTTTTCGCTTTAATTTAACAACAAATGGCTTAAGAGGTACTATGCGACGACTTCAAATATGCTTTGCAACAATGTTACTTTAATACAGTTTATCGATACGAAATCAAGTGTCAAAATGGAGTCCAGTGGAGAATGCCGATATTGACATTTCGAAATTGCTCATCATTGATAGAGAATACGAAATAGTGATTTTGACACAATCAAAGTGTCTATTTTTTACGGTGATGACGATTCTTGGTTGTCAGTTGAGTTAGTGAATAGGCCTACTGATATGCTGTTAACTGTACAATTAAGAACAGTCACGCTTTAGTCAAATGTTCCAAAACAAATAATTTTAATTGATATCTAAATGTTAAGATTAAATATAATTAATAAAAGTATCAAAATTATTTTGCAGTACTACATTCAGTGTTTACTGCTTAAGAATTTTTGAAATTGCCGCCCTTTTCTTGTGACACGTTTCGCTTGCCAGACTCTACGAGAAGTGTCTAATCTATATGGACGATTTAGTCTGTTTTGGAAGAAATTTAGAAAGCCATAATAAAAATCTTATAGATATTTTTTATAGATTACGAGAAACAAATTTAAAATTAAACCCTAGGAAGTGCCAATTTTTAAAAAAAGAACTGTTGTATTTGGGACACATTGTAAGTTCCGACGGATTGAAACCAGACCCAGAAAAAACTAGAGTTATTAATAATTATCCAACACCAAAATCAAGCGATGACGTAAAAAGATTCGTTGCTTTTTCAAACTATTATCGGCGATTTATTCCTAAATTTGCAGAAATTGTTGTACCGTTAAATAATTTACTAAAGAAAAATGTAGATTTTATTTGGACAGATAACTGTGACAAGTAATTTAAAAAATTAAAAACATGTTTAGTATCGCCGCCTATTTTACAATATCCAGATTTTTCGGATACCAATCAGTTTCAGTTATATACAGATGCTTCAGGTATAGCCATAGGTTCAGTTTTATGTAATGGGGACGGCCGCCCTGTTGCTTACGCGAGCCGTGGCTTAAATAAAGCAGAATTAAACTATCCCACTATTGAGAAAGAAATGTTAGCAGTAGTTTGGTCGATAAAATACTTCCGTCCTTATTTATTCGGCAAAACTTTTAGGATATTTACAGACCGTTAGTTTATTTATTCAACATGAACAATCCCACCAGTCGACTAACAAAGTTCAGATTAATTTTAGAAGAATACGATTTTGCAATAGAGTATATAAAAGGAAAGGATAATGTAACTGCAGATGCATTATCCCGGATATTAATTACATCAACAGAATTGAAAGAGATGAATGACAGAGTGATAAATGTAATGACTAGGAACCAAAGAAAAAATATGGAAACTCAACAACGAATTAATCCTAAATCGGACGTAAACACCTCCACTAACCACGTGCCTGATCAGCCAAAAGTAGTGGACATGTTGAAAAGGCCGAGAAACTCAATAGAGTTACAACTTATATCGGATAGGAAAATGAGTAGTAGGAAACGCGACGTAAACAGCTCGGAATCATTAATATTTGACGAAAAGAATATGACTTTATATACTA